ATGAGGTCACAATCACTCTGGTCCCTTGGATTTCAAATTGGGAAAAAAGTGTAATTGAGAAGACTCAAAGATAATAAAAAAAAATGTTTCTAAGACTTTGTGACTAACCCAAGCTATCCCATTTAGCATTAATGGATAGGAGTGGTTGTGACCTGCTTGTAATAAAGATAAATATATCATCATCATGATGAGTTTGGCCAAAATTTTACGCTGAATGCATAGCTGTCACAACTCAGGCCCTTTACCCGAGCATGGGAGGGTTAAGGGAATGTTTAAGGGAAAATTACAAAAAACCCCTAAGCTACACTTTCTATAATACTTACACCCAACCTAACTTTTCCACTCACTTTTTTCCCCGAAATACACTTTCTATGCAAATACTCCCCAACCAAAAATAAATAAATAAAATACCTAAAATACCCTCCCTTACTTTTACCTTACCCACGCCTCTCTATCCCACAAAAATAGGGCTCCAACACAGTGTAAGTGTAGTCCGGCAACAGAACACCCTATAAAGGGCAGTCTGGCAGTTGCAAAGGGTGGTCCGACAGTTGATGTTTGCAGTTTGGTAGTTGCAAAGTGCGGTCTGACAGTTGATGTTTGCGGTCTGGTAGTTGCAAAGGTCGATCCGTGTTTGTAGTCCGGTAGTTGCAAAGGGCGGTCAGATAGTAGATGTTACTGTATTCCAGGGCTCCAACACTATATAAAGGGCTGCCCGGCAGTACTCATTTTCGGCCCGGTAGTTGTCTTAGGGCAGTCTGACACTTAAGTTTCTCTTAAGGGTGGTCCGGCAATGCGATTGTGCTCTCCAGCAATGTGTTATTGGGTCCAAAAGTCAATGTCAAATCTGGCCAGATTGATTTTTGTGTACAGGAAGGACATTTCCGTCTAAAAAACAATGAAGTTTTTTCTTTGGGGGGGTATTTGCATAGAGAATTTGTTTTGGAGAAAAAATAAGAGAAAAAGTTAGGTTGAGGGTAAATTGCATAGAAAGTGTGGTCTTGGGGTTTTTTTTGTAATTTTGTCAATGTTTAGTGTCATCATTCTTGTTAGACCATGTCTCATTATATACAATCCCTTTGATTAAGCCTCATATCATAGGAGCGTAAGCTAGACATTAATGGTAGTCTGTTTTTTATGCACGTTATTGTGATCAATAATGAAGAAACTGCATCACTTCTTTTATAAGAATAAATAGATTTAATGCAACTTTAGAGTGTTCATTTGGATATCTAGAAATATATTATCTATAAAATATATTATTGGCATAATACATTACCTACAACTCGATTGTTACTGTTTGTGTAGTATCTAAATACGACCTGGGAAATTGTTTATGAAAAATCAAGTAGAAACCCATAATATCATATTAGAATTTAGCTAGAATAAATTATTGAGATATAATTATCTTTTATTATTAACATAAAAGAAATTTAAGAAATTTAACAATAGAACATAATTTACCATGAAGAAAAAGATATCCAGAGCTGAAATCCAAATTAACATAAAATTTGAAAAAAAGAAGAAGAAGGTATTATTCAATGTAATAAAAAGTTCCATGTACTCAGATTTGCTGTAATTATTACAAAACGAAAAATAAGAAATTCAATCGAATAAAAACAAATAAAGAAAAATTTTATTTCTTTTAAAGAATTCATATGAGCCCAATTTGTTTAAACAGAAAACAAATAATAAATAAATAAGTATTTTTCAATGTAAACAAGATCAAAAGAAACTCAATAAAAAATAAAAAAGATCGCTTACACTCATAAAACCCCCCAAAACCCTTAAATGCGATAAATAAATCATAGAAAAAAAAAGATCATCACAAAATTCTCATAAAAAACTCAATATTCTTTAATAAAAACTTAAACAAAATTCAATATTTCCAATTCACTTAGAAAGAGAATCCAAAATTCACCTCTAACTCCAAAAACAAACAGAAGAAAAAAAAGAAAAAGGAAAGAAGAATAGATCATCAAAGACTAAGATCAATCTTCAGCTGAATTACTCCAAATAATATTTTCAAATTCAAAAAAAAAGTAAAAATTGGAATCAATGTCTTAGTTTGAATCTGCCTGAAAAAATCGTTGGAAAATTAATTTCGTGGCTGCGTTAAGAGGATCCCATTTTGGACATCGGATTTTAGAGAGAGAGAGAGGGAAATAAGAGAGAAAGATAGAGTTTATGGTAGGAGATAGGATTTCTTTTTATTTATTAGAGTATCCACGCATAATGGATTACCCCTCGCACGTAATAGATTTTTTAGCCCTTCTGGACGTAATGGGTTTCATGATTTTGGAGAAATCTCGGGTAATCTATTTCCATTTCTTATTACTTAAGTGTATCCAAACTGTGTAAATCTCATATTCCTTGAAATCTATTTTCATGTAATAGATTTCTAGGTACCCAAACGGCTCTAAATGCTAAAAGATTTCCCATTGCCATACGAGTGTAATATCCACTTACTCCTTCCAGTAAAACACATGTTGGGGATATGTTTTAGGGAATATTACAAATAGCTCTCAGGGCTAGACCTTTTATGCAAGTTACGCCCAACCAAACTTTTTTTCATACTTTTTTCCCCAAAGTATAATTTTTTTACAGATACCCCAAGTCAAAAAATTCCTTTTTTTTTTTATTAAAATGGCCTTTCGATACAAAATAAATCATTTTGGCCAGATTTGACGTGGACTGTCTGACCCGAGTAGCAATTGATGGACCACACCATTGAATTGTCCGACCCCTTATTCCAGAAAATGAGTGCCAGACCGCAATTTTTAATTGCCAGACCCTTGTTACAAATGCTAAAGCACTGCTCTGATCGCCAGACCCCTTTTTGTTCCATTAACTTGCATTGTAGGACCGCCCTAAGAATAGGCCGGACCGCCTTTTCGTGAGAAAGAAGAGAGATAGGTGTGGGCAAAAATAAGGGAGGGTAGTTTAGACATTTTTTGAATATTTTTTAGGTTGAGGAGTAAGTGTATTTTGGGGGGAAAAGTAAGAAAACAAAAATTGGTTGGGGTAACTTGTATAGAAAGTCTAACTTTGGGGATTATTGTAATTGTCCGTACTTTTTAGTTATAGATTCATCCTCTGCAACCCATAGACAAATTCGGTTTAAAAACAAATTCCAAATAAACACTTTATGTACTATAAAAATAGTAATGTTTAAAGTTTGAATGGTTTATGTCAAATTTTGGAAGGGCTAGATCATAGTGTTACAAAAATCAAAATTTAATTTTTTTTCATTTGGAAATAATGATCTAGTAATTTTTATGTAGTTAAAAAAAATCTTAGACTAAATAAATATTTCGAAACATATGATTTGAGCGAGGGACTAAATACACGATATACTCCTACGGCAACATAGTATATGCGCTCATTTTAAATTGTCCATGCTATTGTAAGGAAAGGCGTTCAAGAACTTCTTTATTCATTAATCCCACATCCAGGGAATATTAAGACTGATACTCTTCATGAGTAGGACTGCGAAAGTGGAATGAAAATTTGGTGAATGTTTCTTTAACAAAAAAAGAAAGAGAAAAAGGGTGGGGCTGCCAACGTGTCGGCACTGGCTAGGCAAGCCATCACCTTGATCTCTACGGGCCCGGCCTGAGCCAGGCCCAACACTGACCAGGCGGAAGAAACCCTGGCCCATGGCTCGCCTTTTCTCTGGCTTGGTCGGGCTGGTTCGGCCTAATACACATGGAACTGCCCTAAGGCCGCATTTTGTGATCCGCAACCTAGTTTTATAGGGATAGGGCTGGCCACCCAGCTCATGCCAGCCCTATTGTGAGGAGAGGGGGAGGAGAAAGGTACCTCACGGGTAAGGGGCAAAATAATAAATGTGGAGGCCGTAACATGTTGGCTACCAAAACCTCACCCCACGTGAAGGCAGCATAAAGCTCAGCAGTTAGTAGAAAAGGCCATCCATCACTTTTTCCCTCGATTTACTAACGAAAAAACACCCCACAAATCCAGAGTTCAAACCTTTAAACCCTAAGCAGTGCGAACAAGGGTCATATTGTGGAGCACGTGTACTCTACTCCTTTGGGAGCATATTATACTTCTAAGCCTTTCAGTGGAGGATTTTTTTAATCTAAACTTTCACTAGAAGAGGTTATTTTGATGCCCAAATGTCATCAAATTGATCATTTCGACATCAAGATGTATGGACATGAGAAAAAAATGAAATTCAGGTTTTGGAAATAGTGCAATGGATTTTTTGACCGTCAATGTTTAAGATTTTAAATTTTCATGGATCTGTTCGATATACACTTTTTTTGAAGCTTTAAATTTTACAATTAAAGATGAAAGTATAATTTACTGTTATTACAAAACTTTTCAGTATTGAAACCATATTTCTTGATACTATTTGAAGGTAGTCGCTAATTTGATTGTTTAGAGCCTCGGCTCTATACAAACCGCACCATTTAAAAATTACTAGATGATCATTCTCACAAAAAAATATATATATAAATTTAAATTTCTTAACACTTCGATTCACCATCTAAAAAGTAGTTGGTCTTTACTCAATCAAGAGGTACTTTAAGTTGCATAGAGAATAATCATACTGCTTTGAAGGGGTTACATCTCCAAATTTTAAAATTTTAAAATCAACTCTTAGTGGGGTAAAACCCCGAGGGATAGAAAAATTATGTATGAAAATAAAATTTTAGATCCTCCTAAAGATTTCTATACTACAACAATATCATGTCTGTGCTATTTGAAGTTGCACCTTATTTGGATTGTTTAGGACCTCGGCCTCATACAAACTACACCAAATATCTTAGGCTTTAGTTGGCTGACTAGCCAGTCCAATGAGAGAGAAGAAAAATGTGTTTTATTATTAATAATATTTATTACTCTTGTAAAAATAAAAAAAATAAAAAAAGAGAAAAGAAGAGAGAGGAATATGAGTGTTAGTAAGTCCAGCGCGGTGGAGTCTGTTTGTTACTTGTTTTGGGGCGGATTTGGTGGCTTGAAATTGGGTTGTCCTACACTTGCGGTTTAGAAGGGCTTTCGAGTTTTTAGCAAAAGGGAGCATCCCCACAAGCTCTCTCTCTCTAGGACTCAGATAAAAACGAGAAGGGTGCGAGATTAGGTGCGCTGCATTTTTCAGATCTCTCGCCCCCACCTCGTGGCCTGTTGGGTGCCCCCTCCCCCTCTTCTCCATAAAAAGCACCGTTGCTCATCGCTCTCTCATTCCTGCAAAACCTCAACTCATGATGAAGCTTCTTTCTCTCTCCTTCGCTGCTCTCTCTCTCTTATTCAGCTTCCATGCTCTGGCCTTCGAAGATGGTAATACCCTCTCTCTCTCTCTCTCTAAAGTCTAATGCTCTCTATCATTACAGAATCAGTACCAGTGCTTCCGCTCTGATTTGCATTTAGTCTCTCTCTCTAGGCTTTCTTCCTTGCTGTTTCTTTTTTCCGAGTTCTGGAAATCATACACTACCGGTGTATGTTCGTGTAGTGTATCATACAGCACTAGGGCAATCCTCTTCCCCTGTTGCCTGGGTGGAAATTAACCGTACCCGTCATTCGGAGTTACGGTTAATCTCAACCGTTCTTAACTCGTGTGGATCTGAATTGGGTTGTGTGGATTTAAATTTGGGTGCCGTTCTTAAACAATCCAATTAAAGAGCACTTTCAAATTTTATCATGTAATTCTGGTAAAAACAATTCCTAGGATTATCTCAAAATCTATTTTAATATCTCATTATAAAGTTTTAAATTTCAAATATGGTTAAAATCAAGTAAATCTATAAATATATACTTGAAAAATGGACGGTCTAGATAATGAATTGCAAGATGCATTATTTTTTTTCGGACTCAATAAATATATATATATATATATAAATTTTTTTTTTTTATATTTATACTTCTCGATGTCGAGATGATGATCAATTGGAGGTTTTTTCTAGTCCCTTCGAAGTAGAATGCGCGGGTAAAATATCATCTAAAATTAATTTTAGGAACTTAAGTTTTGAGAATATAAACCCATAGATTAATCTCAATAAAAAAATTTCTAATTGTATCCTCTATGCACATGAAAAAAATAATGTCCTTATATTGAATAGAGACCATCCAATTTTTTGATGGTGAGATTTAAGTGTTTCACAAATTTCAATTTTTTCTATTCGAGAATGATCATCCAACCAGTAATTCTTAAATAGTTCCCAAAATTTCATATTAAAAAAATCCTCAAATTCAGGTCTTCTGACAAGGGGAATAGCAATAAACTATGCTCCCTAGGTAAAATGGTATATGTGCTTTTTTATATGCGTACGAGGTCCAATAATGAATGGGAGTTTTTCCAGCATCGATACAACTTCTTCTGAAAAGTTTCTGAATGCATTTTTACCTCTAGTTAACACCTTATATAAATTTCGTGCAGAAGTTAATGGAGAAATAGGTTGTGATTCTTTTCATAAATGGCATTTACCACTGTCATTTAATCGAAAGGTTCCCCTTTACAAGCTATTCGAATTCCCATTAACAATGAAGCTTGCCTTCTTTCATTCAATGCAGTCGGGCATTCGAATTTTTTTATTTTTTGAATGTTAACAGTAACTTCATTGAGAAAATGGCATTCGAATTGTTTTGATTTGTCCCTTGAAGCTTCCTTACCTTCATTGAAGTACTGTGATTTCCAAAATAATGAAAATGGAAGGGAATTTGTTTTTGTTGGTGCCACCATGGTAGAAATTCCAGTTTTCCTTTTTTCTTTCTTTTTTTCTTTCTTTTTTTCTCTTATATTGATGGAAACCTTTGTATCTATAGCAAATATTTGATTACATCACTACATTATCTATCATGGTATATCGAGAAGCCAAAACTAAATTTTGAACTAGACAAACATATATGTATATAAAGGTCTGCTAGAAAATGGCAACTTCGAGTTGGGTCCGAAGCCCTCATCCATGAACGGCACGGTGGTGCGAGACCACTACGCGATCCCCGGGTGGGAGATTGGCGGGTTCGTGGAATACATAACAGCAGGTCACAAGCAGGGTGATATGCTGCTGGTGGTGCCCGAGGGGGCATGTGCGGTGAGGCTGGGAAATGAGGCTTACATACGACAGAGTGTTGCAGTCGCCACTGGCATGTACTATGCCATCACTTTCAGTGCTGCTCGCACCTGTGCGCAAGAGGAGCGCATAAACATCACCGTTCCTCCCGAGACAGATGTATTCCCTGTTCAGACTCTGTACAGCAGCAGTGGTTGGGACTCATATTCATGGGCCTTCAAAGCTACATCTGCAGTAGCTCACATCTTCATTCACAACCCTGGTGTGGAGGAAGACGCCGCCTGCGGACCCCTCATTGATTCGGTGGCCATCAAGGCGCTCTACCCACCTAGAGCCACCAATAGTAAGTTTTCTTCTGCTCTCACCTTATCTAAAACTTTCATATGCTATGAAGATAGACTGCAGTGTGCTGCAACTATTGTGTTCATTCATATAATTCTTCATCTCTAGGGTCTTATCCAGTAAAAAATTCCTATCACATGAAAGAATGAGTAGTAACTAGTGTGGTGTATTCCATTCCTCGTCCTCCCTGACTCTTCAGGCATTAAAAACTTCCAACCATATCAAGAAGAGGGCTTATTATTGTAGGATTGTTTATTTTTAACACAAGAAGATCTGAATTACCTCTAGTCTATCCACTTTCTCCACACAATGTTTGAGAAAGACTTTCCCTGTCCATAAAATGAGGTGATTGCTATGCCCCTAGCCACCCGATCTTGCATACATTGAATGAGTTAAGGGTGATCGTGAACTTTATGTACAAAAAAGGTCAAAAGTCCTACCTTGTGGTTTCCTATGAGAATATGCGTACTTTAGCATTGTGCCCCATGCATTCACATGCCTCTGTATTCCTAGTGACCTTCTCCAAATATAGAACGGAGAAAGTTTGCGCTAACATATAATGTGTGAGGTTCGAATATGGTACCCTCCGTAAAAGCAAGGTACACCTCTAAAATTTATTTGGAGATGAATTTCATGTGTCGGAAGCCATAATAGCTTGAAAATCTATTTTTATCCTAGTTGTAAAATTCAAAATTTTAAAAATGGTACAGATCGTGTAGATCTATAAACACTTGAAAATCAAGAAAATAAAAGGCAGAGATAACTTGTCAAGATGTATTATTTTGAAGACTTGAAATACTTTTTTTCTTTATATCTACATATCTCAAGCTCGAGATAATTAATTTGGGGTTTTCCAATGTCGTAATACTCTGTTTTTAGGAAAGTTTTAAGTGCGCCTTCTGTTTTTTTCTTTTTTTTTGGGTAATTACCTTACTTCAACATTATTACAACCTTATGTAAATTTTTTCAATATATGATTTGTGTTCTATTTTATGTGCTAAATTAGTTATGCATCCCTGATTAGGTAAGATGCTAATGAATAAAAGGTAGGTGTTAGTTTCACCCTCAGTTCGGTACGCAAATGTGCCTAGAAGGTAATGTGGCCCCATTTCACATGTAGTGGGCCCCTCCCATGGGTCCATGATTGGTCCAAATGTATATGTACTGATCATGAAACATTGTGCATAAAGATCATGGTACACAAAGGATTCTAAAATAGCACTACCTTTGGATTCTCAGTCAAAATGGAACCACTAAACTATTAGTGGTCAAGTTTAATTCACTCTAACAGCCCTCATTATGATTTTTTTTTTCTTTTTTTCTTTTAGAAAATTTACTGAAGAATGGAAATTTCGAAGAAGGGCCCTACATCTTCCCTAACGCATCATGGGGAGTTCTAGTCCCCCCCAACATCGAAGACGAAAACTCCCCGTTGCCGGGATGGATGGTTGAGTCCCTAAAGGCTGTCAAATACATAGATTCTAATCATTTTTCAGTGCCAGAGGGTAAACGTGCAGTTGAGTTGGTTGCAGGCAAAGAGAGTGCCATTGCACAAGTAGCTCGTACAATTCCTGGGAAATTGTACGCCCTCACGTTTGCAGTAGGAGATGCAAGCAATGCATGCACCGGATCAATGGTGGTTGAGGCCTTCGCAGGACGGGACACTCTCAAGGTTCCTTATGAGTCTAAGGGCACTGGAGGCTTCAAACGTGCAGTCCTTCGATTCACTGCTGTGTCAGAGCGTACACGTGTGGTTTTCTTGAGCACCTTCTATAGCATGAGGAGCGACGATTTCAGCTCTCTGTGTGGCCCTGTCATTGATGATGTCAAACTTCTAAGTGTGCACGGCGCTCCTCGTGCTAAAATTGTTGTTTAGTAGTGAATGGGGCAAGGTATCGGTCGTTAGGGGGGCGGATGCTTCCACATGATGTCCCTCCATTCCCACCATTAACATCTCTCAAAAAAAAAAAAAAAAAAAAAAAAAAACAAAAGAAGAAGTATTTTTGAAGGCTTATATCATGTGGTGGGAAAGAGGAGACTTCTAATGTGGGAGAACTGTTATAGTTGTTTGGATATGTATATGTTTGTCTACACTTAATCATAGAGCTTGTAATACAAGAGCTTGGTACTGTTGTTATTAGTATTAATGTTACCGAGCCTCCTATACGAGCACAAGAATAAAAGAAAGTCAATTTTATATGCCAAGTGAAGAAAAATATTTATAAAATGATAGAGAGAGAAAGATATAAAAGGAATTTTGCTGTAAAGCTTCTGGATAGCTCTCGATATTTTCTAATGGGTGAGTGAGCCCTTTTTATAAGCATTGGAGCTTATCCTCTTGTCACATATGATAGGTTTTGCATCCAATGGCCCACATTTCTCTCTGCCCATATCAATAGCTAAGCCTTCTTATTTTATTATTATCTCTATCTCTCTTACCTCAAAGAAAAACGCTTAGTTTAATATGTCGTTGGAATGTCATTGATGGGTGGTTAAGAAAAAAAAAGAACAAGAATGAAATATACCATAAAAGATAGTCAAAGGATTTGAGTGCAATGAGACTATTATAGCAAGTATATAGTATATTTAAATTGAATTTAATGTATTTTAAAAATAGGAGGTAAGAAAAGGACCACGAATACTATGGTGGTCATGAGGCCTTAGTGGCTATACTCCAATGCTCCCACTTGGCCAAAAGGTCGAATGTAGCAGCGTTGCTAAGTCATAAGGTTTTGCTCGTTTAAGGTTTTACCCAATGTGGCATGCTTCATTATATGGTTTTTTCCATCAAGAGGATTTAATCATTTGTAGCATTCAAATGGTGCCTCTTGGGAAGAAAAATTATATTTCTTTAAGTCCCATCATGGTCACATGCTAGGAGAACATTTTAGCAGTCAATCTGTAAGGTCCGAGGCTTTTCTGGTCATCGATCCTGTTTACATCCTGAATCGTTTCCTATTAATGCTTACCTCATATTTATTTTTCGATTTGCTGAATAACCTTTGTCTGGTGTTTTGAGTGGTACCGTGTTATTGTTGGGATAGTGAGCTTTCCAATGATATGAAAATTGCTCAAATCCGAGCTACCATTAGAAAGTCAGGATTCGTACCTCGAATAGTTTTCTACGTGCATCCCAATGCGCCGTGTACGCATCCCATGCGTACACTCACTCTTATAAGTATGAATCCCCATAAAAACATACCCATCCTAATACACATGATTACATCATGCATTCCCTCCGCACAGTGATTACACATATGCAGTCTCTCATCTCTCACTCTCTCTCTTTATGCCATTCATGCACGTCTTCTCTCTACTCATACATAATCACTTGAGTGTCAGATGGTATATGCATGTCTCTACCCCCATCATTGTGTTCTCCATGCATAATACATGTATGTATGAATGATCTCATGCATGACCCCATGACAACATGATAGCATGATATATAAGTATATGATTACATGATAATATTAACATATGAACTATGACCACATAAATGCATAATCATGCCATGACATGTATACTCACATTAATACATATGACATAACTATATGATAAGATATTATACATACATAAGGTACATGACCCCTGCCCACATGCTACCATGCTCCCTTATGCTTATATATACTCCCATCCATCAATAAATTAGGTTTCACTCTCTCTCCCCACCCCTCACCCCCTCAGTCCCTCATATGCACCTCTTTCCCCCTTTTTCTTCTTCTCCCTTAGTCATTAAACCCTACCAAGCCCATTAACCCATAAGCCTTAAATCTTTGAACCTTAAACCCAATCCACTTGAAGCTTGGTAACCCAAGTGGAACATGTAGAACATTTCATCTTAGGGATTGCGATTGGAGTAAAGTAGATTTAGTTTCTCATGGTTTCATGCTTTATGTTAATGCAAGTTTTTTTGCTTAATTCAAATGTGAAATTTAATTGTGTTTTGTGTGTGTGTGTGAGTGTGGGGGCATGCGTAATAAAATTATGTTAAGGGGTATTCTGATTTCTAGAATTGTGGTCCTTAGTTGAGAGATTTCTAGGATACCTTAAACGATGCCTTAGACCATAAATTTTGGTGGGTCAGTAGGATATTGCATGTACTTTCACATGGAAAAGGCCCCTAGTTAATATCTTATGTAATTTGAAAGCTATTAAATATTTGTTGAAGCATGCAAGATATGTGAATTGAAAAATCCAAGAATTTGACACGTTTTTGTGTGAAGATTTTGACTAACCAAAACTTACTATAATGAAATGAAACCACTTTTTAGTACTAGATAAACGAGTCTAGTTTAAAATTGGTTTTGGACTCATCATAAAATTTCTTATGGTTTGAAAGTTATAGTTCTTATGGTTTGAACATTATGGTCATTTTTTTAGTAGTATGTCATCCTGTATTTTCTACTGCGTAGAAAAGAAATTTCATCTGGGAAGCTCAAATAGTTTGACAAACTTTGGACCAATATTTGATGTTACTTCCTACATGAAAGTTCTCTTGTTATGATTCTATATTATCAAGAAATTGGTTGCAGGTTTAAATAATCGTTAAATTTAATGATATTCCCTAATAGGTGGGCAATGTTCATCGTGGAAAACCAGAAATTGACACAATGATGTCTATTACATTGATATATAACATGTTATTGATATGATAATGTCTCTTGAATTGATAAGCATGATAATATGATATAGTGATGTCTATTACATTGATATATAGTATGCTATTGACATGATAATGTCTCTTGATTTGATAAGCATGATAATATGACATAATGATGTCTATTACATTGATATATAACATGCTATTGACATGATAATGTCTCCTGAATTGATAATCATGATAATATAACATAGTGATGTCTATTACATTGATATATAGCATGTTATTGACATGATAATGTCTCTTGAATTGATAAGCATGATAATATTGGTTGGACCTGGTTCTCGACGGGTCAGGACAAGAACCCTCTCTCGGACAACTGCGGGGTCGTTTGCGCGAGGATATGAGGGTACGTACCTGTGAGGAGTGTGTGCGAGCATGTTGGGCTCCTGTGGGCAAATAGGAAGGCGGCCGGGGGGAGGGGGGGGGGGGGGAGGAGGGAGGGGGGCGCCATTGGGCCTTTGGGTTGCTAACCTCGCCACTTGGTGTTCAGGGAACACGTTCAGGCGGTCAGCCTCTCTTAGAACAGTTACGAAGCTCTCCGGCTGTGTACCAGCGTGGTTTGGACAAATACTCTCTTCCGGCTCGCAACCTCCCTACTCTCTCTATCTATCTTTGTTGCTTGGGACTGGAATGAGATCCGACTATCCCTTCTTATAACTATGGCCTCGAGGGGGCTGGTTGGCCAATGGAGGGGTGTGAGAGAACCCGAGGGTTGGTACGCATGGGCGCACTCGCAACCGCACGTTTGTTGGTGATGCGGGTGGCTGCGCAGGGCAGACGATTTGTGTTGAGTAAAGGGGGAGAGAGAGAGAGAGTTAGGGCGTGACTCAATTTAGGAGAGAGAAAGGCGAAGTTCTCAAGCTCAGGGTATTTTCCTCTCTCTTAAAATTTTCTCTCTCCTCTTGACAAAACTAAGGACTCAAGAGATAACGATAAACGTAATATCTCTATTTTATAATGGGTAAATACCCTGCCCAAAGGAATCTTCCAGCCTCTTTTACAAATGACTTAAGCTTGCTTATATAGAGGATTCACTAAACATAGGTGAATGATAAAAAATAAAGCTTAATTACAATTTAAGAAATTGAGAATAAATCTCGAAATTAGGCGCAATGACCAAAATGTTCCTAAGATCTTTTTGGCTAATGACGAAGTCATCCCTGCAGGTTGTTCCTCCATGGCCAGATCTTGGAAGATTTTTTTGTAACTTGTGGTGATGGTTCAGACAATTTGCGAGCATATCTTCAATGTCTTTGCGACTTTGAGCATTTTGATGCACTTTAGTGCTACTATGGTGGCCTTTGCCATGGGGTGGAAATTTAGCCAGATTGGTGAACTTTGTTCGCCAATGCAGTTCGACTTGCAATATTCTTGCTCTTGGCTCTATTTGCAAACAAGAGAGGAGACAATCATAGCCATTTTGCACCACATTTGAGCTCATTCTATTCTGGTTTGCATTTTTGCCTAATTTGAAAGGTCATCGAAAAAAGGGACTTCGGCAACCGGGTACAATTACTTCTTCTGTGACCTAAGGACTTGCACTCATCAGACCTTGGATTACATGCAAGAGTTATACTAGTCTGTAGCTCTTTGCGAGGTGGTTGCATTGAACTCATCCCCGTGGTGATCTGATGCTTGGATGTTGAGTTGTGCTTCACTAGATTCGAGGCTTCTTCTTCTTCTTCTTAAACCCTGTTTTTTTTATTTGCTGGCACCTTCTTTTCAGGAGAAGTTTGACTCCAAGTCCCGCCACAGTGGATTCCTGAGGTCAAAATGACGAGGCTGGCGTGATCTAGAACATATATGAATCTTGGTCTTTACTATTTTCAGTGGAAGGCGCCATGGGTTCTTGAAGCTGCTTGAAACACAATATCATAGTCTTCATGTTTGGGGACTGGTTCGGTGAAGCCGTACCGCATTAGTGTGAAACCCACCTGCTGCGCGGCCACATGGGCGTAGACTCTATTCGGGTGGTCCGATTGAGCCTAAATTTGGTCCCCAATGGTTTTTCGACATTTTGAATGCGGTGGTGGTGGTCTAACATAGTTCTGAAGATGCTAGCATAAGGTTACAGTCGTAAGGTCCATCCTTGGTGCGATAGCACCGTACCCAGGTCATAAGGTTCAAAGCTTTATTTTACGGCACAACTTCGGCTTACCGGTGTCTTGTGTACTCTGCAAGACCAGGCTGTTGCCGACTCTCTCCTTGTTCACTTGGGAGATGCAAGTATGTAAAAAATGACGTACAACAACTTGCCTCCACGGATGTTGCGCTTCGAGAGAAGCGAGAAGTGCAACATTCAAAATGAAAACTTTATCATCGAAGTTCATCTGGCGAATCCTTATGGAGACATGTTTATTTTCTCTCGACATATATTTTTTTTCTTGATCATTGGCATCGGAGTAGTCCTTGCGGGGTAGACCTTGCCGAGATTTTCCCTTGACCGGGGGGTGACCAAAGTGGCTTCTAGCAGACCTGTGCCTTGTTGAGGGGCTTTCTCCTGGTTCTGCCAGAATCCGTTTTCTAGGAGAACGTATTG